CCTATTTATATTGCCTGATTTAAATGGCTAGGTCGCAGTTCAGTTGATGGTAGTGAAAAAACAGAAAGGGGGAAATAAACCTCCATCATATAAAGCACATAATTTGAAGAAAAGAAATTATTTCTATTGAATTAAACAATTCAATTATCTGTGTGAATGTAACTTTCCTTATTATTAACAGAACCCAGAATGAAATACTGGGGACATATGTTATATGCACAAAGCTTAGAAACCAGAAGTGCTTGGGCAACCAGGATAAGAAAATGATGTTTTTCAGCTGAGGCTTTGTTGTTGGATATCAGCTCGCAGAGGTGACAGGTCCATTAATCAAGGGACACTTACATGCAGCAAGCTGAAAAGACAGGCTTGAATTGCTGAGGATTCATTACAGGAAAAATAACACATAAAAACCTCTAAGCAGAGCATCCTTATCAACGAAGAAGAGGTAATGACTGTGATGTCTATGGATATACAATTTCCAAATGGAATTTCAGGATGGAAAATAATGGGGATGGGGGAGAATGAGAAATATTTACATTTCAGTGGATGCCAATTCAGAAGGGGTGTGTGTGTGTGTGCGTGTGTTTAGTCATTCAGTCATGTCCGACTCTTTGTGACCCCATGGACTGTAGCCCGCCAGGCTCCTCTGTGCATGGGGATTTTCCAGGCAAGGTTACTGGAGTGGATTGCCATGCCCTCTTCCAGGGGATCTTCCCAACCCAGGGAGTGACTCCAGGTCTCCCGGATTGCAGTTGGATTCTTTACCAACTGAGTCACCAGGGAAGCCCTATTCAGGAAGGGAGTTGTTTGCAATCACCTAATATACTTTAAATCACCATGAAATTAATCGCAGGTGTTTTCCTTGTCTGGCTTTGACTATGGAGCTGATGACTTTGCACTGGGCTAACGGGCCTTCTCCCCGAGTGTTTTGGCTGCCTATTTAAGCGTTGTGTGTGTGCGCACGCTCAGTTGCTCAGTTGAGTTCAACCCTTAGCCACTCCATGGACTGTAGCCCGCCAGGCTCCTCTGTCCATGGGATTCTCCAGGCAAGAATACTGGAGTGGATTGTCATTTCCTTCTCCTGGGGCTCTTCCCACCCCAGGGATTGAACCCCCCCACCCCCTATCTCCTGCATTGGCAGGGGGATTCTTTACCACTGAGCCACCTGGGAAGCATTTAAGCATTATTAGCATTTAAAAATGCTAATTATTAGCATTTTGTTTCTGGCAAGTTTGTTTTTTAACTGTGTATGTTTAAAACTCTCTTGGAATTTGCCAAATAAATGGAACCTATCCAAACAAAACATATCCTCCTTTATGTAACTATGTTAGGCACAAGCGAGGTACATCTTTAAGCTTACAGGTTAAGGCGTATATGTAATGGCAGATAAAATATAGAAGTCAGGCACAGACCTGCCTCGTAAGTCCATCATCCATAACTCGCTACATTCTTTCATGTTGTTATTAATACCTTCCTTCAAAGCTGTCTCTGAGACTTAAGATTGGATTCTGATTCTAGTCATAAAGAGACTGACCGACTTTGCTTCTGTAGCTTCTGTTGTTTTGAACACTTCTAGATTATAAATTTTTCAAGGAAGCAATAGTCTGCAGGTGATACGTACTGGGAATTCCAGTTTTACCTCCATCTTCATGGGCACATATATTCTTGTCAGTACAAGCGGCCTTAGTACAGCACAGGGAAGTCTGCTCAATGTTATGCGGCAGCCTGGATGGGAGGGGAGCTTGGGGGAGGATGGATACATTTGTATGTATGGCTGAGTCCTTTTGTGGTCCTCCTGAATCTATCACAGCATTGTTAACCTGCTATACTCCAATATAAAATAAAAAGTTAAAAAAAATACAAGCAGCCTGATTTTTGGTTTGGAAAATATAGTCAATACAGTGCAATGGTTCAGTTTTAGTGTCATACTATATGCATTTCTGGGGTTACACAAAAATAATTCCTGTATATGTATTGTATTCATCAATAGTTAGCAAGATTCTATCAGACCACAATAAGGTAGGATGAATAAGAACAGGTTTATAAAGTAATGTGCTCTGCAGATATAGGTTATTATTACTTGCAAATATAATTACACACTACAGTGGGATCTCCCTTTTAGAGATGGTTTAAATGTAGGACCAATTTGTCTCCTTCCCACTCACGGCCCTTTATACTTAAGTGTCTATAAAATACCTTTTAAATGTTTGCTTTGCCCAGAAAGTCATTTCAGGAGTATGACTCTGGGGACAGATTATAGCAAAAATTCAGTGTCATTCTTCAATATATGTTTAATTTAAAAAATTTATGTATTAGTTCAAGTTGGTTGGTTGATTCTTATTTGTGGCAACTAAAAAGTAATTTAGAAATCAAATACCAGGTTGATAAAAATTTTAGGTCAGTATATTTTATTGGAACTTACACATGAGCATTATTTAGACCCTGGAGTTTGCTATTCTGCTACCTTGCTCAGAATTGTCCCTAATATTTTCTACAGTGTTAATTGGCAATATTTAGATTTTTAACATTTCTTATCACACTCCAATGAAGGTAAAAAAAGAAATTTGAAACAAGTGCAGCTTAAATTAAATATTTAGCATGTGGTTAATTGAGGTATTAGAGTTCCACACCACAGGTGCTTCAAAAGTATGTTCCCTCCCAAGGTAAAGATTTAATCAGGATAGCAAGCCATAAACTGATTTTAAAAAAGAATACAGGAGTATACAGGAATTGTTTTGTTGCTGTCTTCATTTCAGACCTCCTAATTGGCTGCTTCCTATATTTTCTGAGGTTAATTAATTATTCCATTACCAGGTTAATGGAATTCCCTGGTTAATACCCTTCCCCGATAGCTCAGCTGGTAAAGAACCCGCCTGCAATGCAGGAAACCCTAGTTCGATTCCTGGGTCAGAAAGATCTGCTGGCGAAGGGATAGGCTACTCACTCCAGTATTCTTGAATTTCCCTGGTGGCTCAGCTGGTAAAGAACCCTCCAGCAATGTGGGAGACCTAGGTTTGATCCCTGGGTTGGGAAGATCCCCTGGAGAAGGGAATGGCTACCCACTCCAGTATTCTGGCCTGGAGAAGTCCATGGACTGTGTAGTCCATGGGATCACAAAGAACCGGACGTGACTGAGAGACTTTCACTTGATCTCATTTCTTGCTGCTCATAAAATAATTAAGTTTGAGGTGGTTCTGTGGTAAAGAATCCACCTGCCAATGCATGAGCCGTGGCTTCAATCCCTGGGTAGAGAAGATCTCCTGGAGTAGGAAATGACAACCCACTCCAGTATTCTTGCCTGGAAAATTCCATGGAAAAGGAACCTGGTGGCTACAGTCGACTGGGGATGTCACAAAGAGTCGGACCTGAAGAGCCCCTCCGCCTTTCTCCTCACTGCTGCTTTGTCAATGTTCACCACTAGATGGCGCGAAAACTTGGGTTATGGCTGCCAGAGACTCAGGACTAGTCGGGAGTCCAGAGGGCTGGAACTTGATGACTGGAAGATCCCTTCGAAGGTAATCTGGCCAGCACTTCCGTTTTATTATACAAATGAGGAAACCGAAACTCAGTGAAAATGAGTAATTTGCCAGAGTCACATTCTTCCTATTCTCCTCCTCCCCTCCCTCTCCACTTTCCTCTCCGCTTTCCTCTCTTCCTCCCTTGCCCCCTCGTCTGCTCCTCCTGTTTATTACTAGCTCCCCCTATAACCTCATCACCTGAGCAGGAGCCCCGGAAGGGATATAGCTCAGGGAGTGATGATCATCTGCTTTCCAGAAGAAGCACTCTGGCAACTGCAGTGTACCATTGACCAGCTACCATTCATTCATTCATTCATTTTGTTCATCCAAGAAACAGCTATTGAATGCTTACTTTTTGCTTTGCACAGTGCCTGGCACTGGGAATAATTAAAAACCAACAAATCAGATAAGGATTTTAGGAACTCACATTCTCCTAGGGAATACAGAAACGGGGAAAAAAAGTCACACCCTAAATCAGATATGCTTTAATGGCGGTGATAGCAATACAGTCTGATCACTTGGAGGAATTCATCATCAGCTGCATGAGGAATGTAAAGGGAAGGTTTCAGTGAGATAGTGTTAGAGGCCAGAGGATATATAAGGTCATGGAGGCTGAGAAATGGAAGGAAGGGCTTCCAGAGAGAGGAAAGCATGGGTGAAGCAGGAGAGGCTGCTGGAAGCAGCTGCTGGGGCTGATGCCAGAGGGCACAGGGCAAGGGGACAGCTGGTAATCCTGGAAGGAGGGGACCGGTGCCTGAAGGCTTCCTCTGAGGTGTTGGGCTCAGGGATTTCCTCGATCTGGTGGGATGGCCCAGGAAGGAGTAGAGCTCGGAGAATGGTGTGGGCAAATGTGCTTTCCAGAAAAGAGCACCCTGGCAGCTGCGTGGAAGCCCCGAGGCAAGGAAGGCCAGTGGCTGGTGTCCCAGAGCTGTACGTGCAGGGTGGGCTCAGCGTGGGGCTGGGAGGGAGATGTCAAGGATGGGACTGACCACAGTGTTCTCTTTGAAAAACAGCGACTGGGTCTGTCATCGATATCCTTAGAGGGTTGTGACGACTCTGGTGCTTGAACTACTTATAAAGCATTGAAGAAATTGTTTTAATTAACCACACATATTACTTGGATAACATTTCTGAAATTATTTTTAGAATGCAATTCAAGGGCGTTCTAAGTTGATACACAGAAAATCCTCCTGCAGAGCAACCCCTCCCCCACTGGATTTAATGGGATTATGAACACACCTCCCATCCCCCTCCCTCAGCAGGAACTAATTAGAACTAGGAAGAAACAGATCTCACTTCTCACCACCACCATGCTCCTCCTCCTCTGGGTCTTGCCTCTGATGTTTGCCTTTTATTTGTCCAAGTTCTGTTTTCACCACAGCACTTTTCTTCCAGGTGCCACCACTGATGGTGGCTGAGGGCATTATCTCTCTCCCCTGAGCAGCCTGCAGTGGGCTGCTTGCTGGGGAGCTGTGCCTTTCCTTGTAGTAGGCATGGCACAATTTGGGGTGGGGGGAAGGAGCTTCTCTGAGCAGGCCCTGAGTTGCCCCTTGCCCCTGGAGGGTTTTGTCTTTTTAAGAATTTCCCAGTCTAGAATCACCCTATTTCCCTTTCGTCCCATTCATAAGTTTATTATTACTATTAAGATCTCTTGGCGTCCAAAATTTTAAAACTCCTGTGAACCGAACCCTATTTCAAATATGCCTGGGGAGGGGGGCTGTGAGGAGAGAGGGGCACAGCCAAGTCCTGGGTAGAATGAGGATCCTTTAAAAGTCCGAAGCACGTGATCATTTCTTTGTTTTGTTTACATAGGTTTCCAAGTCTGGGGTTGTCTTTAAGAGGCAGTGAAAGCTCCCATTTACTGAGGGCTTACCACGTGCCAGGTATTTTTATATTTTGTCTGTAATCCTCCGGGATCTTCCCCTGCCAAGAAATCTCTTCTCCGCTCTCCTCTTTGGCTCCCCTCTCACCCCCAGGCCTCACTCTGTGCCCACATGTGCTGGGGCTCCGGGCAGGTCTGCAGAGAGTGTTGACCCTCCTCATTACAAAGGAGGAAACCGCAACTCGGGTTATGGGCTCCGCTTCATGACTCCTGTGTACACTGAATACGTACTTAGTTTATTTATTATGATTATTTATTTGGGGCTGTGCTGGGTCTTCATTGCTACAGGTGGGCTTTCCTCTAGTTGTAGAGAGCAGGGGGCTACTCTCTACGTGCGGGGCTCCGGCTCCTCATTGCAGTGGCTTCTCTTGTTGCGGAGCACGGGCTCTAGGGTGCTCGGGCTTTAGTAATTGTGGCTCCCGGGCTTATTTGCGCCACAGCAGAGGGGTCTTCCCAACCAAGGATCGAACCCATGCCCTCTGCATTGGCAGGTGGATTCTTAACCACTGAACCACTAGGGAAGCCTGATCCGTCCTTAATTTAAACAGAGCAGTTAAGGGAGGCCTGTCTGAGAAGGGGGCGCTTGAGCTGAAGGGTGGGAAGGAGCCACGGCAGAAGGAACAGAGGAGCTCCCAGGCATGGGCTGTCCTGAGGAGGCCCACTCTGCCAGCTTCGTACCCAGAAGCTTGTCCTCACTCTTTGATGATCTAAACACATTACTGACTAGTCTTTCTACTCCCTGAGCCTGAAAATATTTCACCTGTAGAAAAGGGTTCTTTTGATCACACTGCACCTCTCTGCCCTCCACTCCGCTGTGAACAGTCATGAGTGTCTGCTGGGAAGTGCCAGCTGCTCAGACCACAGTTTTGGCCACCTGTGATGTGACGTTCCACCGCCTCAGTGGAATGTAGAAATCTTTGCACCATATGGTTTTCTCTACTCTCCCCCAGTTGGGCCCCACTGGAGCTCAGAGAACAACTATTGATCTGACTATGAATGTGCTTTGCATTAAACCTCTTGAAGTGGAAGATGAATGGGTAGGACTTCTAGTTAGGCCTGGAGGCGAGAGCGTGTGCATTTATTTTCATCTCTTCCTGAACCCAAGTGAAATGACTGTACTAGGGGATTTTAAAAGTAAAACCCCACGAGGATGAAGATAATAGAAGAGGAAACAACGGCAGGCCAAAAGATGTCCAGGAATCTGGACTTGGAAACACCTAGCACCGAGGGGTGGGCTGGTGATGGTTTGGTGATCAAGTGAAAGCCTGGCTCTGAACAATGAGGAGCCTGGCGTTCGTTCCTCTTAGGTCTCAGAATATCGGCACTACTATCTAACCTAGGCAAGAGACAGGATTATTCATTTCCAGGGAAATTAATCATCTCAAGAGAAAGGACCTAATGAAACTGACAATGAAAGCCTTCCAATGAAAGGTCCCAGTCCCCACTTCATCCTTCTACAGGAAGTCCTCCAATCACGAGCTCTTCCCACACAGCAGTTTCCTGGACTTTGCAGTGCTTTATCCTTAAATATAAACAGAAAGTCAAGGATAATCTCACAGGAAGTCTAACTCAAAAGTAGATACCACAATAAAACAAACAGGAGACAGGAGAGAGAAGACAGTCCAGGCATCAGAAAAGAGAGAAAGAAATCCTATAATTAACAATATCTCAGAGAGATGAGAGGCAAGTGCACTCTTGAAATCTTATTTAAAAATGAATATTCCAAAAAACCATAACCTCTGGGTAATTAAAAATAAAATGTGTGTGGGGGGATCAGTAGGTGAGTTGGAAGATAAACTTGAGGAAATTTCTCAGGAGCTAGAGCAAAAAGACAGACGAAAAATAGAAAAGAATGGTAGAACGAATCAGAAATTAAAAAACAAGAAACGGAGCCAAAAGAACTCCAGGGAGAACAGAGAGAAATGGAGGGGAGGAAAATGGCAAAGAAATAACACAGGAAAGTTTCCACCCCTGAAGCACAGGAGTTTCTAGATGGAACATCTGCTGTGTGCCCAGCACACAGTTGCTAAGAATAAGCAACACAGTGTAGTTGCTAAGACTCTTTAAGAAGTCAGAGATCTCAGGTTTGTCCAGGGATTTTCAGTGTGTTTGTTAATCAGAGATTCCACTATTAAGAGGCGGAAGAAAAGTAGTTTCTCTATCCCTGAATAAATATTCCTCCTTCAAAAATTTCCCATTACAAACAAGAGTGAATCACTGGAAATCCTTTGAATCTTAGCATTATGCTGTGACGAACATCAAACACTCATCCTAAGCACCTTTATTCAACATCTCTTCTAGAAGCAGTGGGTTTATGTTCTTCCCTTCCCAAAAAACAGGATGCTAGCACTGTAGTTTAAAAGACTACACTGACTTTCAGATTCTTGGGGAAGCTCCACTGTGCACCAAATAAGCACTTGACTAAGTTGCTGATATTTAGTTGCCAAGTCGTGTCAGACTCTCTTGTGACCCCATAGACTGCATCCCTCCAGGCTCCTGGGTCAGTGCTTTAAGATAATTCTCTCAGGATCAGCCAAGTAAATGCTTTCACAGGTGCACACAGTGATTGATCTCAATTGATTTGGTATGTGTAAGTTCTATTGTTATTATCTACAAGGTAATTCATCACAATTAAACTGGTCTTTCGGGAATAAATTAATGCATGAAAACTGGCTATCTGATGTGCTTATTTACAACTTACCCTTTCTACCAAGATCACCCATTACAGAAACTGCTATGATTAAGTGTCTTCAGTTGGCTAACAGGTTTTGCTTCCAACAAACAGTGCGGCCCAATTTCTGATAATGGAGCTCCAGGTACATAACCCTCTAAAGCTTCTTGCTAACCTCTCTGCTAATCCCTTGTACCACCTGATCACTCAGTACTATTATTGTCCGCTTATTATGTGTGTGTTCAGTCGTAAGTCATGTCCTACTCTTTGCAACTCCATGGACTGTAGCCCGCCAGGCTCCTCTGTCCATGGGATTTTCCAGGCAAGAATACTGGAGTGAGTTGCCATTTCCTTCTCCAGGGGATTTTCCCGTCCCAGGGATCGAACCTGAGTCTCCTGCATTGCAGGTAGATTATTCTTTACTGCTGAGCCACCAAGGGAAGCCCTTGTCTGCTATAAAAAGCCCTTAAAAAGTGGGTTACTGATCATTACATCTAAGGGGAGAATACTATTCAGATTCTAGAGTTAGTGCTTCAATGAAGGGAGAAAAAGTTGAGATTAAATCATCATAGAAACGTTCTCGAAAAGCTTAATTTTATGTGATTATTTTCCGTGTTGAAAACAAAACAAAGTTTAAGGTCACTGCTTCCAGGGAATCTAAATTCTTGAGTTTTTCTTCTTTATAGAAACACCTTGAAAAAGTATGTAAACCTCTGCAGTTTTTCTTTAAGGCTGGCTGAAGGTGTCACAGGTAGAGAGTGCTAAGCTGCGATAAGCCTTTGTTAAACACACTATGTGGTCATTCCTTGGGCTTCTGTTTAGAGACACTTTAGTGGTCGGTATGCAGAACTGAAAATGAGATTCGGGAGGCATCTTAATGCTGGTCCTGAATTTCAGCTCTCTGTGTGGTCCTCCTTCCCAGTTAAATCGCGCCTGTTCATCTTCAGCTTCATGCTAAAGAAAACAATGACTAAATAACAATCACTCCGAGACACCTCTTACTTCCCAAGGGCATCATAATAACCCATGAACACCCATGTGGATAAAATGAGCTTATAGCTTTAGTAGACGCCTTTAAACACAAGGCTATTTCAGGATGTTCTATATAAAATAATGACGATACAGCTTTAGCTTCAGATTTATTTTTTAATTAACAACAAAGATGCCCTAATTATAATTTTTCAGAGTATTTAAAAATTGTTTCTTAAAGGACTCATCTAGCATCGGGACTTATTGAAAAGGAGAGTATGCACTCTTAAATAATGAGATGATGAAAAAGAATCTTCCCTTTTTCACCCACACCATTTGCAAACCCCCTTACAGGACTCACCTCCCCTGATTATAATAAAAATTGGGCAGCCCTGTGTGTACTTGACTTGCATGGACTCCATCTGCAGTCACAAAGGAAACCAAACTCCTTATTATTGGCCTTTTCTATATTTTGTTCATAAAAGAGTTACTGACCCCAGGTCATAGTCGAGCTCCCAAAATCCAAACAAGTAGAAAGTTTCTCAAAACCCAATACCTGGTGTTTGATTGAGGAAGGAAATTGGACCTGTTGGAATGGAACGCATGTGGACGGAGGTGCAGCTCTGAACCAGTCATGGAAGTGACAGTTCTAATCTGCTTTTCTTGTTAACACCCAGACGGAGAGGGAAAGAGAGGAGGGAGGACAGGCTGTGACCAGATTCATGAAAGAGCCGGGGCCAAGGATGGACTGAATTTGTACTTGTGTAGGGGGAGTGGTGCCATCCTCTCTCAGCCTGAGTGGCAGGTGTCCTAGCAGAACTCGGCAGGCCAGCATCTGCAGAGAGGCTGCGTCTCTTAACATCACTCTTAGCCCTTCGCTTTCTTCAGCAATCGATATCTTTACTTAGAAAGCTGAGTGCCTCGAAGAGTCCACCACCAGATTGGAGACCGCTGGGAGGCCACAGGTAGGGAAAGAGGCTTCCTACAGCTCTGCCTGCTTGTCTCTGCCTGATTTTGGGGTCATGGTGTTCTCAGAGCAGCTGAGGACCCAGTGGGTGGAGGTCTTCCACTACCCAGCCCTTAGAGGTCAAGGGCCTGCCCTCTCTGTTGGGGTAGGGGTGGGCGCAGGTTTATGAGTGGCTATGGGAGGGGCCTGCATGGTCTTTCTCCCTGATTTCCTCTTCCCATCTCATCTCCCCAAGGGGCAGGAAAGTCCAAAATATTTCCTCTCTTCTCTTTCTCATCTTTGGCAGAAATTATGTGCTTTGCAGGGCCTCCCCTTCATTTCACAAATCTTTACTGAGCTCCTTCCACGTGCCAGCCTCAGTCCAACTGCCCAAGATATGCTAGCAAATAGAGAAAGAGCTTCATCTGGTAGGACTTTGTCTCTCAGAGCAGTGGTCCCCAACCTTTTTGGCACCAGGGACTGGTTTTGTGGAAGACGATTTTCTACAGACTAGGGGTGGGAAATGGTTTCGGGATGATTAAAGAGCATTACGTTTATTGCGCCCTTTATTTCTATTATTATCACATCAGCTCCACCTCGGATCATCAGGCATTAGATCCCAGAGGCTGGGGACCCCTGTCACAGAGGAAAATATGAGCAACAGGCACAGTACAGAAGTGCATCATTTAGTGGGTCGGGAGTGTTAAGTGCTAGGAAGGAACAAAGGAAAACCAGAGCACATAAGGGATGGCAGGAGAGCTGGGGGCAGAGGTGGAAGACGAGGGACAAGCTGGCACCTTCACTAAGGGCAGGGTGAGCCTCCTTGGGGAGAGGACATCTGAGAATATGGGAAAGCAGGGAGGGAGGAAGCTAGGTGGATAATTTCCATGGGGAAAGAGTATCAGGCAGAGGAAAAGTATCAGGCTTGTGCAAAGGCCCTGGGGGTGCCTGGTAGATTTCAGGAGCAGGTTGGAGGACTGAGGAGTAGTGAGGACTTGGAGCAGAGAGGTCTTGCTTTTCCTTGGAGCATTATGAGAGCCACTGAAGACCCTGAACAGGAGATGATGAGATTCAACTTTAATTTTAACATGGTCAATAGCCCTGCTGTTGAGTTGAGGAGTGGCAATAACAGGTTAAGGGCTGGAGCTGGGAGACCAATCAGAGCCTTGCAGGAGCTCAGACAGAGGTGGTGGGCGCAGTAGAGGTGGGGAGAAATGGTCAGGTTCAGGATGATATTTGAAGGTGGGACTGCCAGGAGCTGTAACTGAGAGGCTATGGGTGTGAAAGAGAGTGAAAGTCCAGGACGCCTGCAGTTTCCACTTGGGTCCCTGGAAGAAGGTGATTATTCTTAGCTGGGCTGGGAAGGCTGGGGAATGAAGCAGGATTTTGAAAAGATGAAAACTAAGGTTCACTTCCGGACATCCTGAGTTCTCACTTGAATGTTGGGAGCCTAATTTACTTTATTTTTGCTCCCCCTGCTCTAGAATTCTAAGTCTTTTCAAGACTGAATGTGAGTAGTGAGGACTTGGAGCAGAGAGGTCTTGCTTTTCCTTGGAGCATTATGAGAGCCACTGAAGACCCTGAACAGGAGATGATGAGATTCAACTCTAATTTTAACATGGTCAATAGCCCTGCTGTTGAGTTGAGGAGTGGCAATAACAGATTAAGGGCTGGAGCTGGGAGACCAATCAGAACCTTACAGGAGCTCAGACAGAGGTGGTGGGCGCAGTAGAGGTGGGGAGAAATGGTCAGGTTCTGGATGATATTTGAAGGTGGGACTGCCAGGTGCTGTAACTGAGAGGCTATGGGTGTGAAAGAGAGTGAAAGTCCAGGACGCCTGCAGTTTCCACTTGGATCCCTGGAAGAAGGTGATTGTTCTTAGCTGGGCTGGGAAGGCTGGGGAATGAAGCAGGATTTTGAAAAGATGAAAACTAAAGTTCACTTCTGGACATCCTGAGTTCTCACTTGAATGTTGGGAGCCTAATTTACTTTATTTTTGCTCCCCCTGCTCTAGAATTCTAAGTCTTTTCAAGACTGAATGGACCTCAGAGGAGATGCGCTGGGAAGAAAACAACAAGTGATATTTTAAGACCTCTGCTTACAGCCTGGGTCTTCCCCCTGGAAGCTGAAGATCCTGTCCTCAAAGTCTTTTAATTGCTTGACTGAAGACTGAACACCTACCTTGTTCCACACCAAAGCCACTGCCTGGCAGAACATTCCAGGACACAGGCTCTTGCATTTTCCAGTCTGGAAGGTTCTACTTTCACGGCCTGACAGAGTGAGCCAGACCAGGGCCATCATGTTCATGGTTCCAGCCCTACTAAGACTGGGCTCCAACAGCTGGGCCCTGCAGAGAGGACGATGGGAGAAAGACCCTAGCACAGGCCAGAAGAAGGCCCCTGGCTGTCATGGGGGCCACTGGCCTGGCCCTTGCACTTCCAAAGGAGCTGTTCTTGCCAAACTCCAAGCCCCCTCCCTAGGAGGCATGCTGGCAATAGTGGGCCATGGCTTACAGGTAAGGAGCTGAGGAACCAGACCTTGCCCAGGGACTCACATTGCTTTTAGATAAAGGAAAGAACATTCTCCAAAAATGGAATATATAGATGTTTTCCTGCAAGTCCTGCAAACATGTCTGACAGTGGACAGATTTAGACATTTCTAGTATCTTCTATATTCTCAGAAGTTCTAGCAGTGGATCAGATCTAACCCATGGAGTGCTAGGTTTTCTTTGTCTGAGTTCAGTAACCCAGTTCCATCACTTCCTGGTCATGGGACCTTGGACAAGCCACTTAATTGCTCTGGCCTCAGTTTTCTCATCTGTAAAGTGGGGCAATAATATATAGTAATGAGGTAATGCATGCAAAGGGCATCACCCAGGGCCCAGTGGGCAGTAAATGCTCAGTATGTGGTATTCACATTCCGTCTCTACTATAGTTGGATCTCTTTCAAGTAGTTTAGAATTAGCTGAAGATTCTTTTATTTAAGACATCTCAATTTGCCTGTGAGATAATTAGCCTTTGAAATTCTCACAATTCCATGCACACAGTAGATGCTGCGTGATACTTAGAGGAATTTGAGTACCATTGTGTGACCTGGTGATAGGATGCTGATTCTGCCCCATACTAGCTGAGTGACCTTGGACAAGTCACAAAACATCCCTTAAACCTCAGTTTTTGGACTCACTAAGGTGGAAATAATGGGCTATCCATCTCTCACTGGGTTGTCATGAGGATTAAAAAAAAATGGTAGGGTGAAGGAATTCAATAAAGGTTCACATTTTTAGTATTGTTGAACTGTCTTATGGAATTGAATTATGAAATGGAATTGCTGAATTATTGTTGAACTGTTTTACTGTTTATTGCTATTGCTGTTTGTTCTTGTTGCTGATAAAATGGCAGAGTCTGAGATGAGGGTTGATTCGTTTTGGGTGATTCTTGATTTGCTGCCCTGAATCACGTTAATTATTTACAAGTTCGTTATCTAGCTTGACTTGACTGATTGATTTCTTCACTCGATAAATATGTATTGAATGTTTGCTCAGTACCAGGGCCCATTCCAGGCCGTAAACAGGCTGACCCGATTCTCTGTCTTGGAGCTGGCATTACTGGTAGGGGAGGCAGACAGGAAACAAGATGATTTCAGACATCGATAAGAACCATGATGAGAATAAGAGCAAGAGGGTGAGTGGTGGGGGGCTGGGGGTGGTCAGAGAAGGCCTCTTGGAGGAAGTGTCATCCTTAAGACCTAAGGATGGACAGAAACCAGTCTTGAGAGAAGGAGAAAGGGGAATGAAGTATGTGTGGAGTGGTGGATGGGGTGTCCCAGACAGGGGAACACCCAGAGGAAAGACCCTGAAATAGGGAAGCAGCCGGCTGGCCTGGTGACAGATCTGGGAGGTGGTGGCTGAAGAACAGAGGGCAGGACTTCCTTTGTGGTCTGGTGGTAAAGAATCTGCCTGCCAATGCAGGGGACAGGGGTTCGATCTCTGGTCTGGGAGGATTCCACATGCCGTGGGGCAACTAAGCCCATGTACCACAACTATTGAGCCCATTCTGCACAACAAGAGGAGCCGCTGCAGTGCGAAGTCTGCAGAGTAGACGACGCTGTCTGCCACTAGAGAAAAGTCTGTGCACGGCAACAAAGATCCAGCACAGCCAAAAGTAAATAAATTTCTAAGGGGCTGGGGCTCTATTTTGGTGTAATAGGGAACCCTTGAAGGGTTGTAGCTCTTCTCCCAGGTGTGGTACAGATGGCTCTCCCGCCTCCTTCTGGTCTCATATTCCCCTTTCAGTGAGGTTTCCCTGACCACCCTGTGTAAAATTGCAACCCTCTGTTTAAAGGACTGGAATGAATTCAGCCAGTCACCACACTCTATGTCCTCCCACCCCGTTGTTATTTTTTGTCCACAGCTCTAACATTTTCTAACATGCTCTACGTTCCCCTCTTTATTTTTGTCGGTTATCCTCTTCTTGATGAGGATGCAATGTCTAGCAAGGTCTAGAAAGTGCTAGAACAGTGCTGACCCAGAGTGAGTGTGCAGATATTTGTTAAATACAAGACTGGATAAAGTGAATGCTGTAGGTTCTGCTTTTACTAGGTCCCTCTGACTGCCTCGTGGAGGGGGATATGGAGAGCCTGGTGAGATGGCATTCTTGGCCCCCAGACGAGGGTATGGGAGGTGGTTTGACATTGCCTTTCGTGTAGGGCCCACTGGACTTGCTAATGGCTGGAGTAGGGTTTGAAGAATGAAAGGACTCACTTTAGGATTTTGACTGGAGCAACTGGGGCCATTTACTGGGACAGGTAGCTGGGGGAACAGGAAAGGAGAGGGGACAATTATTTGGAAGAGTCAACTTGAGAAGTTTGTTAGACAGCAGAGTGGCATTGTCAATGGCAAAAAGACGGTGATTAAAAAAATAGTGCTTAAAATAGTGGAGAAATTGTCAAACTGACCAATATGTGTTGCTCAAGTATTTTGGAATTTTAGATCCAGAAAAAAAAAAAATCCAAAACCTAGATCTAAATTTGGGTAAATAAACCTGATGCTTTGATTACATTCAAGCACAAAGCATCAGATAATAATATTAGCCAGGAACTTCTCCGGCGGTCCAGTGGTTATAGGACTCCATGCTTCCACTGCAGGGGGCACCAGTTTGATCCCTGGTTAGGGAATTAAGATCCTACATGTTGTGAGTGCAGCCACTGATAGCAATAAAGATAATATTATTAGCCAAAATGCCTATACTTTAAGTCACAAGAAGTGCTTAAAAATAAATTTCAATGGAATTTAAAATGCAGTGAAGAGAATTACCATGGGGGAGGTCTCCAATATATATATAGGATTTCTATTTAGCCTTTCAATTTCAGAGACAATTAAAAATAATCTTTAACCAAGTCACCATTCCACCTAGAGTTTAATGCATCTCCTGCAGTGGTGCCTTTCTGTCGTTTGGTTTTCACACACAGAGATGCAAAACTTGTGGTCACTCTAAGATGCAGGAGTGGGACTTCCCTGGAGGTCCAGTAGTTAAGACTCTGAGCTCCCAAAGCCAGGGACAGGAATTCAACCCCCCACCCCCACCCCTGGTTGAGAACTAAGATCCTGCATGCCGCAGAGTGGAGGCAAAAAAAAAAAAAAAAAATCAGGAGCGGTTCAGGAAGCCAGCGTGACAATACAAAACCTGGGAAGAAATGGATTAAGCGAAGCTATGCTACGGTACAACCTTGATGGGCTTCTTGAAAGCATTTTGCTTTCTGGAAAATGGAAGCTCTAGCGCATAGCAATTTCAGCTATTTCTTTCCTCTCGGGGAAATCATAAAAGCAGTATTTTCCACCCAAAGACTTTCCTGCCCCTGCCAAATGATGGGCTGACGGCTCATATTTTCCCACGTGGCGTGGTGCTTTCGGAGCACCGTCTTGTCTATGGGTACTTGGTAACAAACACGCATGAAGCTTCGCCTTTCAGAGAAATTGCTGCAGACAAGCTGGCGCAGGGCTGTAACCAGGTGGCTGCATCGGGACTCAGGGTGTGTTTAGTATTCTGTACGCGTCGGAGCTTCGAGGACCCAGCCAGGGCTGCCTCTAGGATTGCTGTGCCTCTTGCAAAGCACTGGAGTTCAGAATCTCGAGGCTGCTTGGAGGAGGTTTGTTGCTAAAACATAGGCTGTTCTTCCAGGTACCTCAGAGTTTAATTCCATCCTCGATCGCTGAGCTTGGGGATGCTGCCGCCCCCATCCCCACCCCCCCATTTCTCTGTTCTTTGTCCTCTGGAGGCAGATTCGCTGGCCATGCATGGCTTAGTGCAGAAAGCTACTGCTCTTTGAGAAAAGATGACCACGCTCTGTGGGTGGATTTAAGTTGTGCTGTGCTGCTGCCTTGCCTCATTCTGCATCACCACCCCCCTTCCTACTTGACCCTGGTTCAGCAAGCCAGTATGGAATGGCCACCGAGAGTCAGTGGACCTGTGTGTGAGCCGGGCTCTGCCATGGCCGCTCTGAATGACCCTCAGCCTGAGCCCCGTTGTCCCATCTTGCAGTGATGAAGTTTGGGAACATCATCATCTCCACCGCTGTTACACAGTAATGATGCTGTGCGTGGTGTGGATACTCTGTGCACTGACTGTCCAAGACCCCCACTCCAGTGGTCTTAGCTGGGGGGCAGTACTCTTCCCCAGTTGTGAACACTGACAGTGGCAAATGGGCTCACCCTCCTCCTCATACATCCCTGAGCACACGTATCTGCCCACACCTGCCCAGAACAAATGCTGGGAAAATGAAAATGTCAATTAAACGGTTGCTATGGCAACCCGATCTCATGTTTGCAGCTACATTTGCAGCATTGTGATTATTTTTCTCCCATTGGGTTGATTGAATTCCTCAGTTGTTGCCTCTTTCCCCATCTCTGTCACCCTGTCAACACACCACACACTCATGCTCACACACTCACAAGTACTCACACACTGTTCACAATGGTTTGTAACAGAGCAGATGATGCATTTTAAAGGGCTGAGATAAAAGCCAGGAAAATTATCTTGGAGCAAGCGGGCACATTCCTGTGTTCTTTTTGTGACTTTTGGGGGTAGCTCAAAGAGATAGAATTTCCAGTCTGACACCAGAAAGACTCTCCTGTTAAAATTTCCTTTTTGACCTTGTATGAGCTCTTCAACTCCTTGATCAGGGGGTTTTAGCTCTTGATCAAGAGAACTTAATGCTCTTAGCCCTACGAGGGGAGGGGAGAGGAGGGCAGCCTCATAAAGACTAATAAGAAAATGCCTGCAACCTTTGCACTCCCCTGAAGAGTGACCTGCATGCTGGTCATGGCTCAGCTTCACTGTGGAGTCCGGCTCAGCCTGGAGGAGGAGCAAGGGCCTGGAGACAGATGCCTGGATTGGATCAAGTTTTATTAGCTACCAAACTCTGAGTTGGTTGCTTAATCCCTCTGTTAGTCTATGAAACGGGGCTGACAAAAGGAGTGCTACCTCATGGGGCTGTTCTGATAATTAAATGAAATGCCATAGAAATTGTTGGCATGGAGTAAGGACCCAATGGGCTTCCCTGGTGGCTCAGTGGTAAAGAATCTGCCTGCCAATGCAGGAGACATGGGTTTGATCCCTGGGTCCAGAATATCCCCTGGAGAAGAGAATGGCCAGTATTCTTGCCTGGAGAATCCCGTGGACAGAGGAGCCTGGTGGGTTACAGTCCATGGGGTCGCAAAAGAGTCAGACATGACTGAGGGACTAAACAACCAACAAGGACCCGCTAAGTTATGCCCATATTCTATTCATGCCGGTCACTTCCAGAAATCCACAGAGGAAAAAGTGCACGGTCCAGCTGTCATCATTGGAAGATGTGTGCTTATAAACTTTCCATATGTGTGTCTTTGCTGTTTTTTAGAATACATTCCAGCTTCTTCTTTCAGAGCCAGTTGGGATGCAGTAAGCATTCATTTTTTTCCTCCCTCTTGATAAATGATTTGATTTAGTAATTTTAAAATTTTGTTTTTGAAAGGTTTATTTTTTCTCTGATGCCAAAACTTCCTGATGATGAAATCTCCTGTCACCAACTCAAATATCTCAAGGGCTGAAGTGCCTTGTGGGGTATAGGCAGTCTTTCTC